TGCGGTTATCTTACAACAATCTCCCAAAAAAAAGAGAGGGGACTCTTAGAAGGGGGGGGGGGGGGGAGTGATTTTCTTGGGCACAAGAAAAAGCATATCAGGAGCACAGAAAATACAACATCCGTCTTCTGTTCTCCAGCTGTTGTGTGTGAGAAGTGTGCGTCCCCTGGACAAACTGCGCAGACCACAAACCGACCCCTCCACAGGAAACAAGCGTCACGTTGCGGGCCATTGGCCACGGAGTCAGATTTATAACAATTGCACTCATTCCAGAACCATTTAGTGAGGTGTATTTTAGGACCCAAAGGCGAAGGGAATGCAACTCTCTTTTTGTTCAAAGATCACAAACCATGCTGAGTTTTAAAGTGTCTGTAATAAATGATGAATAATTTAGTGACCTATTAACACTTTGAAGTTTCTGCATTTGTCGTAATTTAGGCTGCAACCCATTCTCTACTTATTGAAACAGGACTAGACATAGTGCCGCCCTGGGCAAAATGCCACATTGCCAATATGTAGATGGACATTTTTGTTTACTTTTGTTGGAAATCGGAATTCCAAAATCGAAAATATTTGTGTCCATTGTGGCTGTTTTACATATAAAAACCTGTAAAAGTTACAGTTATAAACTCTCAGCACATCGGACAGCTAGGATTGATAAACTTGGGGGCACAGATCGTACTGTGAAACCTCAGTTCTCGATGCTGAACATGTTTCCTCAGTGTTTTAAAAGCACAAAATGTTACATTGGTATTTCATGTAGTATAGTTATCATTCCAACAATTCATTTTCTAACTCGCAACAGCAACATGACTCAGGTGTGATGGCATCCCCTATTACGAGGCCTGACTTCCAAGTTAAATTAAATGCGTCGCAAGCCCAAACATGCATTGGACAACACTTTTACTTTACCCCAACCATTCTTTTTGCTCAAACACACAAATTCCCCCATATTTGCCTTTCCGTCACCCCTAGAACGTGTGCTGCAAACCTTTTACAAATGCAAACATTGGAAACAAAGAGGCTCTGAGAGGCTTTTCACCTCACAGGAGGAAACCCAAGGGGACAAAGAGGCAAGCAGCTGGATCATTTCCCCAACAAAAACACCTCTTCCCTGCAGGTTTTATGATCAACCAGCTAAGCTGTCGCAGGCAGCAACAGCTGGAGAGAGGACTGAGATTTACTGTTCCCGGGGTAGAGCAAGAAATGTATCACATGGACCTGCACAGCGAAAGTCAAAGTGGTTCAGAAAACATGCTGGAATTTGTGTGTCCGCCATGTGCTGCATGCTGTGTCTTTGTCAGAACTTCTGCTGAACTGGGAGAAAAGCTTAAAATCTCAGACGAAGCTTAATGAAAGTTAAAACATTGAAACTTTTAAAGGATGAGGCAAAGCAAATTTTCCAAGCTATTAGCTAGACTCTTCAGTGGAAATAAATGAAACTCACTTGAATTACTGTTTGTCACCTACTGAACAATATTACATGG